TCACTTTGTTATATATATATATACATATATATCATACAAATAATATATAGAGAAATATAACAATTCTAGAGTAATAATATAAAGGTATGCTTATTTTGAGAAGTTTGAAAAAATTTTACTGTGATTTTACTGTTTGGCTTCAATTTAGAGCAAAACATATCCTAGGAGACAATTATGCAATTGGAGATAGTAGATTCGAAAAGTTGAGGATCGGTCTGCATTTTTTTTTTCTTTTTTTAAATTTTACAAAAAGTTGTCAGTGCTTTTGGGTTAACAATTTTTTTAATATTATTTTTTAATTTATAAAAAACATAAAAATACTACTCTTTAGTTTTAAACTTGTTGGATTTTTTAGTCCAATTGAATTCACCCCAAATAAGACACACCAAATTATATAGCCCATTAGAACCATGGTCCTACTCGTGACCCACATCTGCGCCCCGTGACCCGCCTGCCAGAACCGATCTTACTTACCCACGAACCGACTTGCGACCAGCGACCCTTGGCCGACATTGTGCTTGACGCAAGGCTTCCGACTTACCCTAACCAGGTCGCTTGAACCATACTCGCTGAGGATCCGCCTCCTTTGCTAGACACGATTTGGGCCGTCCATTTTAGTTCTGTGATCTTGGCCATCCGTTCGCCTTTGACCTATCTATATATATAAAGAAGAGAGAGGCGTCGTCTCAGGATAATACTCTCACACTCTGTCACTCTACACTCGTCCTCTCTAGCCTCTCTCTCTAGACCTCTCTGTCCATCTTCTCCGGCGACTTTTCCCGACAGCTCAAGGCGGTTCTCGGCAGCTCTTTTCCTCCTGTAAATTGTGGAGTTCCTGTGGCGCATTTCCCCCCTATTTGTTGTTGTTCGTAGCCGCAAGGGGCTCGTTCAACTTGTAGGCGTTTGTATTTGTTCTGTTTCGCCTGGTATGGTCTACGGGGGTTCCTTTTTGTTTGTGTCGTGTGTTTTGAGCCGGTTCTTTTGTGTAGTCGCTAGTTATGTGTGATTTTTGTGTTGATTGTGTTCCGAGTTTGGTTTGGGGCTAAGCCTAACCAAATCTAGTCAAAATTTTTGTCGATTTCATAATAAAATCTTCGATCCATTCTTATATTTTAATAACAAAACCAACACAATTATTATTTATCAAATCAATATCCATCAAAATCCTCCAAACTCAAACCAAATCTAGAAACACAAGGAACACAAAAATCCAAATTTATCTTAAAAATTCAAATATAATCCAAATCTAAACATAAAGTTTGTTTGTTTAGTATTTTGATTTGAAGAATTTTATTATGTAAGTTATAGGAAATCATATCGGTAATATAAAAAATAATATTATATATTGAATATTGATTTTGTAAGAGAATAAAGTATATGTGTTACTGTGGTTGAAATTTTCTATCCGAATGATAACCAAGAGCTTCTTTTCGGAAGATTTATAGTGATTAAATATTTAATTTGTACCAAACGCAGTGCCAAGACGTTTGATAGTAAGAAATTAGGAAGAAGAAGAAAATGTGAGAAATTGAAAATAAATTGCAGAAAATAAAAAATAATAATAAATTTGATTGAAATGTTGAATCCGAGTTTTTAAAATGATTACAATGTCTATTTATAAAATCTAAAAGATGTCTGCGAATCAACGTAACTCTCTACTCCACTACAAAAAAATTATATATTTGTAACGGAATTATATCCCTAAAGTTCACGTAGCTAACGTAATTCAATTCCTAATTCCGTCTCTAATGTCATTAGTAACGGAAAAAATAGATTTAGAGACAAAAAAAAGTTTTGTTACAAAAATGATTTTTTATTGTAGTGCTCTATTAACATTGAGAAGAGATGCAACTTTTTGTATAGAAATAAATACAATTAAATTATTTTCTAATTTTCTAAATTTAGAAACCACTCTTGACCTTTGTAAATATATCTAATCTTCTGTAAAATATGTCTAGCCCTTTGTAAATATATTTGAAAATATATCCAGCCTTCAAATAAAATAAATATAATATTTGAATCAGTTGGGGTGCCTCTCTTCCTTCTGTAAAATACGCTCAAATTTTTGTAAATATATTTGAAAATATATTCAACCTTTTAAAATCATAAACACGCCCCTACCTTTGTAAATCTTATCTGAAGATACGCCCGGACATCTGTAAAATAAATATGGAAGTGCCCTGCCCTCTGAAAAAGAAATCTAACAGCGTATGGACTATCTAAAATATATTTGGTAGCGCCTCGCCTTCTAGAAAATAAATTTAACAACGCCCTACCTTCTGGAAAATAAATCTGACTGCGCCTGAACTATCTAAAATATATCTGACAACGCCCACCTTCGTAAGACACACCAGGGCCTTCGTAAATATTTTTGATTACGCCAGAACCTCTTGAAATACACGTCCATCCTTCTGCAATCATCTGGCACTGCCTGCATACCTATCCCGGTGCTGTGCCTTCTATCCTGGCAGTTTCTCCATCAGCCCGGAAAACTTTCGCATTGGTGAAGACGTCTTTCGCATCAATCCAGACGACTCATGCAATAGCCCGGGCAACTTCTGCAATAGTCTGAATGATTTCTGCATTAGTTCGCGTGACTTTTGCATTAGCCCGGACGACTTTTGCATCAGTTCAGACAACTTTTGCATTAGCCTGGACAACTTTTGCATCAGTCCAGGCTGACTTTTGCATTAGTCAGAACACTATCTGCATATGTCCGGGCGCCTACAAGTTCTATTTGGGAGCACCCTCTAAGCGTACTACACTCGGATGGTTCCGGTTGTTTACTACACCTGTCAGTCTTGTTTGGACCCTAACTTTATGTTGAACTGTGCTAATCCGTGATTAGTTTTAAGTGATAATATTATGTAAAATTATTTTATAGAAATTAAAAAATTGCATTGTTTCTCATAATCAAAATAGGAACATATATATATACACACACCATGTAATAAACTCGACAAACTCAAATCATAACAATCTAGCATATGAATAAGACTAAATCTAAAAATATATATATTAAAACTTGTGTCGAAAAAAATTGTAGACAAATAAACTGATAATTTCCATAAACTTCATAAAGAAAACATCCTTCAACTTAACCTCAAGTAAATAGAGAAATATCATATATATATATATATATTTTATATATAAAATATACTATTATCTTTTACAAATTAATATTACATTTAAATTACTGATCCACAAAAAGCAAAAATTCAAAATCAAATAAATGAAAACATATCCATAAGAAATCAATAATAATATTTTCTCGGTCCCATAATAAAATATTTATTTTTTTTTATTTTTGTTCATCTCACATAATTTGTCTTTATTTTTTTGAAAAATTATTATGAATTTAAATAGCATTTTAAATTTTATAATTTATAATATTTTTAATCTTAATTAATATATCTTAATCTTAATTTATAATTATTTTTATTATATACTAATACTTATTCTTATTAATACCCTTTTTAATTATTTATTAATTATATAATTTTTTAAATTTTCGGATTTACAGTAATATGGACATCTTTCATGTGATCAATATATTTAAGATTGTGTTTACGTATGAGATGAATGAAATTAAGAGGGGTGGCATCATATATATATATATTTGAAGGTTTGTATTTTTACATTAGGGCAATACTATTTTTTTCTAAATTTTTATTTATCAAAATATTAATTGGTTGATATAGGTTTAGATTTAAATTTAAATTTTTATTAAATTAATATTTTACATTTGAAATTTACTTTTAATATATTAATAAGCTTGGATAATTTTGAAAATTATTTTATATACTTAAAATTTGTTAGAAAAAGTGGATAGATTAAAGTTTATTATAATGATATTGGGTTATACTCATATGTGAAGAAGACGACTAAATTATAGAAAATCTATATAATCAAGTAACGACACGGCCTGAACGTGTATAATTATAACAAATATAATTTTTTTACCCACAAAGTTCAATAGAACAAATGAATTAAGAATAAGAATAAAAGAAAAGAGAAGGAAGAAGAAAATATAGTGTAGAAAATGTGAATTAATATGGATGATAACCAACCATGAGAATAAGTCTCGGACCTGGAATCAATCCATAGGTAAAACACAAACAATAGGCTAAATCTCACTGCAAAAGATTGGAAGCCACAAACCGATGGAATCACTCCAAAGACCCGATTTAAGACTCTAAATGCGAGGAAATCACTCCCTAACACTAGAAAATTATAAAGGTGAAATTCGATTCAAGATGTAAAAAAAATTCTCATTACAATGATAGACAAGGACCTTATATAGAGGTCCTTGAGGAAAATAAAAGACAACAAATAATAAAGGAAACAAACCAAAAGGTAAGTCTAACTATAAGGAAATAAATAATTAGAAAAATTTTAGATATGGAATTATATTATATGAAAACTTATAATAAAAGAAAATATATATTAAGGTAACTTCTATAAGCCTCCATAAGTGATGATTCCCTTGATAATCTTCATGATTAGTGATTCTCTCAATAAGTGATGATTCCCTTTATAATATTCCATGATTAGCGATTCTCTCCATAAGTGATGATTCCCTTGATAATCTTCTATGATTAGCGATTCTCTTGATCTTTCAATTAGGATTCTTGCGGAACCCATTGAAGGAGCGTCAGGTGAGGGCTAAGTGATCTCCAAGCATCATCCTTAAATTGATTCTCCATGAAAAATCGTCCGATCAATGACGTGACAGATTTTTGAAACTGACGAGCTCGGCTTCGAATGATGGGTCCCATAGGCATTTGAATGCTTAAAGATTGGACGTCCTCGTCATTTTTTCCTTCTTGAAAAGCTTTCTTGTTCTCCCGAACATAATATTCATCCGCTGCATCAAAAAAGTTTAAGTCAAAAACATTAAAAGTAGCGTGAACTTGGTACTCACCTGGGAGTTCAAGATTGTAGGCATTATCATTAATGCGTTCCAACACTGGAAAAGGCCCATCGCCACGGGGAGTAAGTTATGAATTTCGCAATTCTGAAAATCTTTCCTTCCTTAAGTGTAGCCAAACCCAATATCCTATCTCGAATACAACTTTCTTGCGCCCACGGTTAGCTTGTTTTGCGTAATTGTCAGCTGTCTTTCGTAGGTTATCCCGAACTTGAGAATGAAGTTGTTGGACAAATGCAGCCATTTTTCTACCATCAAAACTAACATGCTCATTGCGTGGCAATGACATAAGATCAAGAGAAGTTAATGGGTTAAAACCGTAAACAACCTCAAATTGAGAACAATTCGTAGAGCTATGAATAGTACGGTTATATGCAAATTCAGCATGAGCTAAACATTCTTCCCAACTCTTCAGATTCTCATCAACTAAAGCACATAACAAGCTATCCACAGTTCGATTAACAATTTATGTTTGACCATCAGTTTGTGGGTGGTGTGATGTGGAAAACATTAACTTTATACTTAATTTAGCCCAAAGTATTTTCAAAAAATAACTTAAAAATTGAGAATCTCTATCAGAAATAATGGATCTTGGAACACCATGCAATCTAAGAACCTCTTTGAAACATAATGAAGCAATATGCGAAGCATCAGTGGTTTTTGTACATGGAATAAAATATGCCATTTTTTAAAATCGATCAACCACAACAAATATTGAATCTTTACTAGATCTACTCCTAGGCAAACCTAATATAAAATCCATAAAATATCAACCCAAGGGGATTCAGGAATAGGTAGCGGAGTATACAAACCATGTGGATGAACAGTAGAAATCGATGAGGGGCACGTTGTACACCGACGAATTGTGGCTTCAACTTCGGCTTTCATTTGTGGCCAAAAAAATATTCCTGCAGGAAGTTAAGTGTCTTGTTCCTACAAAAGTGTCCCATCAAACCCCCCGAATGACTTTCCCAAATCAACAATTCTCTCAAAGAGCATTTAGGCATGCACAATTTATTTTCTCGCAGTAAATACCCCTAATGTACATGATACCTTTCAAATGCATGAGAATTACATTTAGCAAATATATCGGAGAAATTAGGGTATGCTGCATATAATTCTTTTAAATACGAAAAACCTAATAGCAGAGACTCAAGCGTGGTAACAAGTGCATACCCGCGTGACAATGCATCCACAACGATGTTTTCCTTTTTTTGTATGTAACAACATATGGGAAGGTGTCAATGAAGGAGATCCATCGGATGTGTCTCGTACTCAACTTACTTTGGGATTTGATATGCTTGAATGTTCATGATCAGTGTACACAACAAACTTACGATGACGTAAGTAATGTTGCCATGTTTGCAGGACCCACACTAAGGAGTACAATTCCTTATCGTAGGTTGAATAATTCAACGTAGCGCCATGTAGCTTTTCACTGAAAAATACAACGAGTCTCTTTTCTTGTGAGAGGATGACGTCAATACCTACACCAAAGGCATCACAATTAAGTTCAAACGATTTAGAGAAACCAGGTAAAGCAAGTACGGGTGCACATGTAAGTTTCGATTTCAAAGTATCAAAAGCATTTTGTTGTTCACTTCCCCACTCAAACTTATCCTCTTTTTTGGTAATTGCAGTTAAGGGTGCTGCAATAGTGCTGAAGTTCCGCATAAATCGACGGTAGAAACTTGCAAGGCCATGGAAACTGCAGACATTACGTACGCTAGTAGGTGTAGGCCACTCTTGGATGGCTGCAACCTTCGCAAGATCTACACATACTCAATCTTTTCCTACAATAAAACCCAAAAAGTTCCACTTGTCGACACAAAAGTCGCATTTTTTTAAGTTAGCATATAACTTCTCAGCCCGTAAAAAATCTAAAACTGCTTGTAAATGTTCAACATGTGTTTCAATAGAAGTACTATAAACAAGTATGTCATCAAAGTATACTACCACAAACTTATTTATAAAATTCCTTAAAACATGATTTATCAATCGCATGAATGTGCTTGGGGCATTAATAAGTCCAAATGGCATAACTAACCACTCATATAGACCAAAAGAAGTCTTGAAGGCAGTTTTTCATACATCACCTTGATTCATCCGAATTTGGTGATAGCCACTTTTAGAATCAATTTTGAAAAAAAATATAGAACCACACAAATTATCAAGCATGTTCAAATCTAGGAATTGGATGATGATACTTAACTGTTATAGCGTTGACGGCTCGGAAATCTACGCACATGCGCCAACCTCCATCTTTTTTTTGGCACCAATAGGACAGGTACAACATAAGGACTTAGGCTTTCACGAATCCAACCTTTGCTTAGTAGATCCTCCACTTGCCTTCGTATTTCTTTTACCTCATTTGGGTTGGCTCGATAGGCTGGCCGATTAGGAATTGATGCTCCCGGGACAAAATCAATTTGGAACTTAATTCCACGAGTGGGTGGTAAATCATGGGGTACTTCATCAGAAAAAACATCATCATACGTCTGCAATAAGTTAGCAAAACTAGATGGAAGTTTGTTAGAGTCATTTATGGAGAAATAAGTAGGTTTAAAAAGTAATAACAAACAATGAACTCCATGTTCTAAGCGTAAAGCTTCTTTTCTACACATAAAAAGATTAGACCTCTCACTCTAGTGTTTAAGATTCCAACTGGTTTCACCCTGAATCATTACACTCGTGTTTGATTTTTTAGTAGAAAGGTAGAGTATTTGAGAGTGGCTCGGGGCAGATGTATTTATTGGTGAGGATGAAGATTTGAGAGGTTGTGGGGTAGTTAGGCTATATGAAAGAGTAGATGCACTTGTATGGGGAGTACCTTTTGTTGCGGGTGATTCTAAGGAGGACTTCAAATTGGACTCCTCACATCGAGTTGATTCAGCGACATAGCCCACCATCTTGTTGTCTTTCTTTTGGTTCATTTTCTCTTTTGCTTCAGCGGAAAACTGTTTGTACAAATATTTTTTTATCTTTATCTACTTCTCGAGGACTCAACGACTTTAGAACTATGATCCGTCCAGCATGTGTGAAAGTATATCGGTTACGGCGGCCATCATGTACAACTTCTTTGTCAAATTGTCATGGTTTCCCAAGAAAAATATGACATGCTTACATTGGAAGTACATCGCATTTTACCTCATCCTCGTAACCTTGTAGCTCAATTCCCACCAACACTTGTTTGGTGACGTTGATTTCCCTACAATTATTGAGCCACTGTAGTTTGTAAGGCCTCGGGTCCAAATTTATCCTCAAATTAAGTCTTTTCACTGCGAGGTCACTAATGACATTAGTACAACTACCACCGTCAATGATAAGACTACATACCTTAGTCGCAATCTCATACCTTCCATGGAATAAATTTTTGCGTTGTTCGATATCTTCAACCTCCTTTGGAAGGGTGCTAAGAGCTCGGAGAGTGACTAATGTCAAATTGGACTCCGGTATGGATTCTACAACTTCCTGGTCGTAGGAATTTGCCTCATTGACCTTTTCAGTTTCTGATTCGGATTCGTACTAACCGGAGGTCGTAAGAACCACAAGATGCTTGTTTGGACATTGATTCGCAAAATGCCCTTGGCCTTGGCATTTGAAACATAACACATCTCGGCTATGGGTGGTGTTCTTTTGGGCATTTGTTGGCGGCTTAGGGTGCGTCGAATCAACTCCCGCTACCTCTTTTCCCTTATTGATATGTTGTGGAAGTTGCGCTTTAGGCAACCCTACAATTGAAGAAAGTTTAAACGTATTACTTTGCATCCACTTTGATTTTAGTTTCTTCTCCACCTTTATGGCGAAGTGTACCATCTCTTCGAGGTCCACGTATTGGTACATCTCTAACGCATCAACAATATCCCTTTGAAGCCCATTTGAGAATCTAGACATCATTTGCTCCTGATCTTCACAGATATCAGCTTGTAGAAGAAGTGTTTCAAGCTCCTTATAGTACTCCTCCACTGACCGGGACCCTTGTTGTATACTCTGCAATCTTCGAAATACTTCACGATGGTAATGAGGAGGAGCAAACCTCTTTCGCATGAGTGTACGAAGCTCTGTCCACATACGCACTGGAGCCTCCCTATTTCTACGGCGGTTGATGCTCAATTGGTCCCACTATGCAAGAGCATAGTTTGAAAACTCCATTATGGCCACACGGAGTTTTTGTTGGTCAATTAATTGTTGAACATCAAAGATTAGTTCTAACCTTCGTTCCCATTGCAAAAATGCTTCAGGGTCGGATTTTCCTTGAAACGGTGGCACTTGAAACTTGATCGAGTTGATAGCCTTATCTCCATCCCGTCGGTGATGGTTATTATGATGCCTAGGTCGTTCCCAATTTCCTTCAAACTCCTCATCATCGGGTTCGTCAAAGTTGTATGGGGGTGGGGGCCAGATGTTGCGTCTTTGCCTCAAATGCGGTTGAACATCATTTCGCCTCTCAGTTTCAGGTAACGATCGGACATTCTTTTGTAACTTTTGTTGATTTTCTTCCAGTTGATCCATCCTATTATTCATCACTTCCAATCCAGAATGGTGAAGAGTTTTGAACTCTTGTAAAATGGTATTGAGATGACCTTGTACATCAACTTGTTGAGAATTGGATCCTTCACCCCCTGCCATTAGAAAGAGAAGAAGGAAAAAAAAGAAAGAAAATAATCTTACTGGAACTCTCGTGTATCACTCCACATCTTATGTACTCCCCGTCTCACAAAAAAGACTCAAATCAAATCAATAGAATTCTCCCAAAGATGATAGCCAAAAAATCCAAACAATAGTGAAAACAAAAGAAATATAAGTTTAGAATGAAGGTAGAAGACAAATAATTTAAATAGGTTTTTTTTTTTTTGATAAAAAAAAAAGATGATTTGAGAACTAGAAGTAAATAAAAAATATCTTAAAATTTGATAACAACTTTTTTTTTTCGTTTTTTTTGCCCATTTTCTTTCATTTTTTTTTTGCTTTTTTTTCGACTTTTTTTTTTTTGCTTTTTTTTTTTCAAATAAGAACCGTGATATCAATCAAGAGATTGTGTCAACTAGCTCTGATACAAGATGATACGGCCTGACCGTATATAATTATAACCAATATAATTTTCTTACCCACAAAGTTCAATAGAACAAATGGATTAAGAATAAGAATAAAAGAAAAGAGAAGGAAATAGAAAAGATAGTGCAGAGAATGTGAATTAGTATGGATGATAACCAACCAAGAGAATAAGTCTCGGACTTGAAATCAATCCATAGGTAAAACACAAACAATAGGCTAAATCCCACTGCAAAGGATTGGAAGCCACAAACCGATGGAATCACTCCAAAGACCCGATTTGAGACTCTAAATGAGAGGAAATCACTCCCTAATACTAGAAAATTATAAAGGTGAAATTCGATTCAAGATGTAAAAAAAAGTTTTCATTACAATGATAGACAATGACCTTATATAGAGGTCATTGAGGAAAATAAAATGCAACAAATAATAAAGAAAACAAACCAAAAGGTAAGTCTAACTATAAGGAAATAAATAATTAGAAAAGTTTTAGATATGAAATTATACTATATGGAAACTTATAATAAAAGGAAATATATATTAAGGTAACTTCTAGAAGCCTCCATAAGTGATGATTCCCTTGATAATCTTCCATGATTAGTGATTCTCTCCATAAGTGATGATTCACTTGATAATATTCTATGATTAGCGATTCTCTCCATAAGTGATGATTCCCTTGATAATCTTCCATGATTAACGATTCTCTTGATCTTTCAATTGGGATTCTTGTGTGACCAATTGAAAGAGCGTTATGTGAGGGCTAAGTGGTCTCCAAACATTATTCTTAAATTAATTATCCATGAAAAATCGTCCGATTAATGCAGTGACGGATTTTTTAAACTGACGAACTCGGCTTCGAGTAATGGGTCCCACGGGCATTTGAATGCTTGAAGATTAGACGTCCTCGTCAAGTAATAGGGTTTTTGTTATCACAATTAGATATTAAGCCAAATAATCAAACTAAGATTTCCGCCCAACAAAAATAAAAGTGAGATTTTCGTCCAACATTTTGCATGTTAAAAAAACAGCGAATCTCGCTTCATTAACCGTCGGATTAAGTTGAAATTGTCAGAGAATATTCATGATTTGTTATTTTTTCAATCCAAAGGTGAGATTTTCGATCGAGTATTTGTAATTCGATCATGTTTACAGAATATGATATATTTTTTATGTTTACATTATTGATCTTGATTTTTCTTAAATTTGTAGTTTTTGTTGATTGATTGAGTGGTGATTGTAGCTAGCGTGTATGCATTCTTGTAAACTCTTATACCCGATTTGATCGTAGTTATTTTTTTCTTTGGTCTAGATGACCAAAGAAATTTTTATGGAATGTTGGTGATTCGTTAATTTTTCAATCCAACGGTAGAATTTTCGATTAAGTATATTTGTAATTTGACTAGAAGTTTACTAAATGTGACAAAAAAATTTTTTTATTTTTTTTAGTCTTGAATTTTTTTAAATTTGTAGTTTTTGTTGGTTGATTGAGTGGTGATGAAGGTATGGTTATATGCATTTTTTTAAAAAACTCTTATACTCGATTTGATTATAGTGGATTTTTTAAAATGACCATTTGTTTTTTCCCTTTATCTTGAAGTATTTTTCACATAAATAAATTATCATATCTTTTTCATATTTTATTTACACATATAATTAATTACCGTTACTCATATTTTTGCAAGGGGATTGCATTTTTTCATTAATATATAGTAAAAATTCTTATAGTAATTTTTTTTGTTTAGTTTTAAAAATTTTAAATTTGATTATTTGAAAATTAACTATCGTATTCTTCTTCTATTAATTCTTTCATTCTTCTTATTATTATTGTGTATTCTTTTTAGTTAATGCTAATTGATTCTCTTATTTATATCGTGATGCCAAAAAAATTAAAAAAGAAAGATCAAGTAAAAAAAAAATCACAATGCCTGTATTTTTTATATGTTTTTTTTTAATAAATATAATTTCGAATATTATATAATGATAAATTTTTATATTCTTATTGTATATGAATTTTTTTAATCGATTTGATTTTGAATATTAAATTTTTTTTTTTTTTTAATTTTGTAAATTGTGTTAAATTTTTTAGTTTTGTATTTGAAGAAATATTTGGGAATATAAAAAATTATGCTAAGTTGTAATACATAAAAATGAATTTATTTAGTATTTTCATTGTTATTGTGTACATATGTGTCTAATAATATTTTACAAAATATATATTTTATCTCATATTACTTTAAAAAATAAGGAGTCATCGTTATCAATATCTCATATTAATATATATATCAACGATATATGCCATATTTTCCTTAATAAATTGATATTTTCCCACATTAAATTTTATAAATAAAAAAGAATTTATAATTATTGTTACAAATATAAAAATCTATATTAAGTCATATAAGTATTCGCCTTTAAATGTACGATAAAAATAGTATAAATTTAATTCTTGATGCGTTTGGATTAACTTTTGGCATTTAATTCTTGATCTGTTTGGATTAACTTTTGGCATGAGTTTTTGGCTTTTGCTTCTAGAAGAAATATTTTCTACTTGTTTGCATTGGCTTTCGTCCAAAAGACAGAAACACTTTTAAATTGAAATTACTGTTTTATCTTTAATAATAATAATAAAAATAATAATAATAATAAATACAATAATATAATATAATACTACTATAATATAAAAATAATTAATTCATATATATAATATAAATTTATATATATTATATTTTAATAAAAAATTAAATTATTGTTTTTAATTTATATGTTATACTTTAATTAAAATTTAAAATTATAATTAAGATACTAAATTTAAATAGGAGTATATAAATTTATTAATTATACTAAAATTATTAATTTAATTTATAGAATTTTAAAATAAATTTTAAAATACAGATAATTTAATATTTGATTGTAAATTTTATTTGTAATTTATATATTATCCTTAAATTTTAAATTTTAAATTTAAATAACTAAAATTTAAAAATATATTTTTTATACTATAATTTAAAATCTTTAAATATAATTAATAAAATTTAAAAATAAATTATAAAAGTTTTATAGAAAAATAATATTATATTAACATCGTGTCATTTTGAATAATTTTAACGGTTCAAAACACTTTCAACTCTATTACATCTAAACAATTTTTTATAAAAGCTGCTTTTATACAGATTCACCCAAACACAAAATCAATCTGCTTTCTACATTTGTACTTCTACTTTTGACTTCTGCTTATTTTTTAAACAAATTCAAACGGATCCTCAATAATCCAAATATTATTGAATTAATTATTTTTTTGATTAAAATCAAATTTCTAAATCTAACATTTGGTTATTTCTAGAATTTTTAAAAATATTTTATTGTAATTTATCATTTTTTTTAATAGATGTTTAATTTATTATTTTAAGACATGATTATTCGAAGAATATGTATAATTTATCGTATAAAATATTCATGGATATAACAAACTTTTTGCTAGTATAGATATAATTAAAGGTAAGGCTGACTTTGAAAGTTATAGTTCAACACGAAATTATTCATTAATTGCCCCCAAGTCAAATACTTTTACTTCCTACCAATATATATAATTATAATATTGCTTCGCTTTGCTATACCTACAAAATTGAGGGCATGTTTGTTCGTAGGGTTTTTAAAAATCTTATTATTTTAAAAACTTTTTTCTAAAAAAATATTAAATTAAATATTCATTATTTATTTTATTAAAATTTAATTTTATATTTAAAATATCACATCAATACATATTTATATCATATTAAACAATTATTTCAATTTAAACTTTTGCTATTCAAAATCTAAATCCAAAATCCATAAATATATCAAATACACCGGGTTTGTTTATTTGAGGAATTATTTTTTATTTATTTATTTTTGTTTTAATTTGGGGTTTTAGTTTGAACAACAAATTAGATGGGATGTTTTCTAAAAATATAATTAATAATAATATTTTATATAAAAAAATATAACAATTGCTTAGTAAAAATATGAATAGTTGTTGAACT